CCCCCCCCCCCCCCCGCAACCCGGGAATGAGGCCCAGGAACCTGCATTTGAACAAGTGATCCTGACACACACTGAAATTTAAGCACCACACTAGGTGGTGAAATCCGGGTGGAGGGAAAATTCCATACATATATGGAACTCAAATATGAAATGAAACAAATGGACAGTGTCTGTAACATTGGATAAAATTAAAACATCTTCGGGTAGAAGGTAAATGGCAGTGCAGACTGACATAAAGACCAAGGTCAGCCTGCCCTAAAATGGGCACTTAGGCATAGGATTATTTTGACTTAAAAGCAATCAAAACCCAGTCAATTCAGGAAATGCTTTTTACCTCCCCCTCAACTGGCTAAATTTACACTGGAAAGGAAGAGCCTGTACCAGGAAGAGAGCTATCACCTGAGATAACTCCGTTATAACATGAACTAGGTGTGGCAGACAGGGAGGAACTTCACTAGGCCTTTTGATCAATGTCCTCTATGTCCCATTGTGTCTGAGTGGCCCAGCAAACATTTGTTTACCAAACATTTACTTTTTCTTCCTCCTGTGAAGTGCATTCCTTCCCTCTGAGGTCCCACACCCTGCCCCCTTCTCCTTAGTTCTGGAGGACACATTTACCTCTTTTCACCTGTCTTTGGAATTTCCATGCCTGTGTGGATTCCCCATACGTATGAGATTAAATTTGAATTTCTCTTGTTCATCTGTCTCCTGTCCATTTGATTCTTAGTCTGGCTAGAAGGACCTTGAAGGGCAGAGGAAATTTTTCCTTCCCCGAGAACATGAAGGATGCTCAAAGATTTGCAGTGCTGGAGTCCGAGCCAGTCCACAGAGTGCTGTAATTACCAGCATAGATCCAGGAGCATGAGTTTTTTCCTCTTGGGCAAAATTAAAACGATTTTTTTAATTGCTAAATTCACTGGGTACACAAAGGATTAAAATAATACATCGAAGCCCTTTTCTCCCTTATATTTGGTGAGGAATAGTGTGGTGTTGCTGAAATATTTTCAAGCTGTCACTGGGAATTACATCCCTTAAGTGATTTTCCATACTTACTTTTTACTTGCTTTGTAATGGGCTTCAGTATCTCCAACCAGACCTGTGATAACATTAATGAAAAAGTTGGTAGAACATGGCATTGAGTGCAGCTTTTTTTTTTTTTTTTTGGTAATGGACAAAAGTCAACACGAAATAAACAAATACCAAGACTACTGAGATCCCTTCTAACGACAGTTAGAAACAGTGGTGTCAGAGATGACGTACCTCGACCATACTCAATCAGCCCCCTCGTATTTACCCAATGACAGTGAACACTGTTGATCTATAAACTCTTCGTTGTTGACATTTGAATCACTGCTCCCCTGCCTAAGTAGGATGACAAAGGTGTCACATACAAGACTCGTTAGTGGCTACAAAGACTAATGAAGGCATTTGGCTCTGCATTTGAATCCTAAAGCCTCCAAATGCCAGCTTAGTAGATGTAACGAGCCTTTCTGGGAAGGTGCTGGTGCTGGATAACGGAATTGCCAAGGCAGGACACGGCAGGAAGAACATCCAGAATGTTGGGGCTTGAGAGAGGGGAAAGAAGAGTCCCCTACTCATTGGTAAGGTTAGGAGCCTTCATTCTGGAGGCTGATGTCCAGCCTCAGGGAAAATCAGAACAGATAAAGCACAGATTGCTGTTCCCAGGGTGACAAAAGAGGAGCGTAGGGTAGAAAAGTCTGTTTGGTAAACTGAGGCGACTTTAAATAGACAAAGAGGGAGGAGGGACAATAGTTGTTAAAGCTGGTCATTTTGCAAGGGTTTAAATGCTTTTTCATTTTTCAGTCAGGTTTGAGCGCTCCATACCTGGCTGCAAACTGCATTTTAGAAGCAATCCTAGACACAAAGAACCCTATAATGAAAGCAACTTACATTATTTCCAGAATGGCTACAGAATTCTAATCCAAAATATTCCTTTTCAGCAAGATTTAGGTGGCTGCAACTCAGGTTAAACAGCGCCTTCCCGGATGACTTTTGCTAAACAAAACAGAGAGATCATAGCAGTTTGCATTCCTGACCTGATAGTGTTACTGCAGTGTGGGAGAAAGGGTGGGGGCAGCCCAACTCTTAAAGCACTTTCGGGTAAGCACGGTTTAGAGGTCTTGCTTGCATCCTCTCAAAAGACGATGTTTCACAGATAAATACATGCCTCTACCTGTAGATTGTTTTAGGGCCTCCCCCCCCCCC